TGATTTTATCTAAAAAATATGTGAATATACATATGACATTTCATATAAAGTTATCACAATTTTTTGTCAATACTTGACTTTTTAAATTAAGAGTAGACTCTTTCAAATAAGAGTAGACTCTTTTTCAACAAGAGTTGACTCTCATTAAAAAGAGTCGACTATACATAGCACTCTGAACGTTTTCAATTCTCTGGAATTTGGGAGTCGAATATCCACCATATATAGTCGACTCTTAAATGCTCGAGAGTCGAATCTTTGTTCCTAGATTCGACTATTTACTTAAAGGCATATATATAATAGCCTTGACCAACTACTAGGGAAAAAAAATGTACTATGCAACTTTCAGCAACATAAGCCTTGTTGCTGATATAAATTTTTAGCAACAAGAGATATCTTGCTGAAAGTGGGGCTCAATTACATAGGAAAATGGTTACCGAAAAATAGGAAAATGGTTACCGGAAAATATCAACAATATGGGGTATGTTGCTGAAATTTACTTTCAGCAACATACTCCTTGTTGCTGAAAGTAGAGCAACTTTTTAGGGAAAAAATGTACTATGCAAATTTCAGCAACATAAGCCTTGTTGCTGATATAAATTTTCAGCAACAAATGATTCCATGTTGCTGATGTATTGTTGCTGAAAACTTAAATTTTAGTAGTGCTTGCCTCATTTTCTCTCTATAGCTTTACGAATTAGGAAGTTCTCTCGTTTGTCGCCTTAGGCTCTTTGGGGTTTCAGGTCACTATTTTGTGCCTTCAGTATGGGAGGTTGTCCCTCGAGGGGACAAGGATAGTTAGGTTTCTCCTAACGGGAATGCAAGTTTGGTAATCTCCTAGGGGTGCAGTTTGAGTCTATTGGAAATCTCCTTTTGGCGTCGGTGGCTTAAATGCTTAATGGTGTTGGATCCATCCGTTTCCATTTTGTAGGTTTTTTATATTGGAAAAAATGTTTATTAACCCAACTTTTAAAAAATTAGGAAGAAAAATATATAAAATTGTGTGCTTTAATAAATTCCTATTGAAAAAAACTAAAATAACTTTATGAGATGGTTTTAATTCTTTCCTGTTGTGTTTTATTTTATAAAAGTTTAATTAGGGAATAAGCATAAAATGGATTTGAGTTTAATTAGAAGAGTAAGCCTTCCTTATAAACATGCTGTTGGTTTGTATTTATGGATTGATTTGGTTGATGGTATTCCTTTAACTAGATCAATAGGGATTAGTGTTGAAGTGTATGTAATTTAGTCTAAAAACATCTTGGTTACTAATTAAAAAATATTTTTTGGTGAATATAATTAAATTAAAATAAAAATAATTACTCTTTTTGTTTTAGAGCATGGTTGGTATAGCAGTTAAAATTTAATAGATAACAAATAATGGGTAGTGGATAATGGGTGATAGTTAGTGGGAAGTGGGTAGTGGATAATGAGTGATAGTTAGTGGGAAGTGGGTAGTGGGTGACAGATAGTAAGTGACAGTTAGCAAATAATGAGTGATGGATGCTAAATGATGGATTCGATTAACATAATTGTTTTATTATATAATAATCAATGGTTGTTGTTTAAATTAAATTATTGATAAGGACATGTTTAAAAAAAATAAGTATTTTTTATATTTTATATTTTTTATTATTAAAATTATTAATTTTATAAAAATAATAATAAAAAGAACTAAAAGGAGGTC